TCAATGTATAAAAATATTTTAATGAAGTAAACAATCCATTAGATTTATATTGATTTTCTTCATATCAATGATTAATTGAATTGAAAATATCTAATTAATAATATCTAATTATTTATTGCAATCTAAATTTTCTTAGCCCAAATTTCTAGGCTCTACCAAATATTCTTTCGCACAATCTTCTATTATCCTCAATTTTTTTTCAAATGTCGCAACAACAAATTTCACGCGAATCATTGTCATCATCAGCGACATCATCGACGACATCGTCGTATTTTGATGAACATTTTCATTATCGTCCATTACGAACATTTACCCCAGCACCATATCGTTCACCATTTCATACCTCAACCATTTCTTTGCCTGATATCAAAGAAGCTACTACTGAAGAAAATAATAGTAGCTGTAGCAGTACTGTGGAACATTATCAGAAAACTGTCAATTTTCATGATTCATACATTCGAAAATCACCGGAACAGGTTCTCCAATAATAAATTATCAATTAATTTATTCCAATATTCATCAAACTCTCAGTAATTATTCGAATTTTTACCTAAACTAATATACTGATATATTGAAAAATTGTTGCGTATTATACAGTTAAATTATGCAAATTATAATTAATCAATCCGTTAAAATAATAAGTTTATAAGGTCATATCATCGATTTCTTTTTTTAAATTTATTTTTAAGATTTCTAATTTTAATTGCAAAATTTTTAACTTTAATAAAAATTATTTGAGAATAGATTTTATCCATTTGGAAAAAAAAAAGTTTTTCTTTTTCGATATATCCTGAAGATAACATTATTGTCAAAAAAAAAAAACTGTTCCGGTATAATTGCTCTTTTTAAAGTACATACTGAACACACAATTTCATTTCAATTTTTAAGAGCAGTTAGCTCAATTCAAGTTTTACTTATTTACTTATATTAAACAGTAAGTCAAAGTGCTTCTCAACATTTTTACTTATCTTTTTTTTTTTTTTGGTAGACAAGAATTTTATTTACCATAATTTATATATCATACTGAATATAAGTTTGTTATTTTTTCATTCCTCAATAAACATATAAATAGATTTAAGTTAAGATAGAATTAAAAACTAATATAAGTTAAATTGAAATTAGATAAAATTAGTTCTTTGTTAATGCTAAAATAAGTTCAAATAGGTATTGCCATTTTTGCGCAGCACTTTTTTAATATAATTTATGCTATTATGAAAAGTATATCCATTCTGCCAAAAAATACTACAGGAAATGCAGGAAATGGATATGAGATCTGAAGATTAAATATTGATGAGAATTTGTAAATTTGCTTATCAAGTGATTAGTCATGCTAATTAAGTATAAGTTAATGTTCAGGTAAAGGTAGCAAACTTGCTTATCAAGTGATTAGTCATGCTAATTAAGTATAAGTTAAATTAATGTTCAGGTAAAGGTAGCAAACTTGCTTATCAAGTGATTAGTCATGCTAATTAAGTATAAGTTAAATTAATGTTCAGGTAAAGGTAACAAACTTGCTTATCAAGTGATTAG